AGAAGAGAAGAAGATCTCTGTTCTTGAGCCCTCGGCCCCAGGGGAAAATGGGGGGGGACTGTGGTCCCAAACAATAAAAACTGAACTGTTGTTTTCTCCCCTCTTGGCAGGGCATCCTTGAAAAGAAAAATCCTAAAAGCAGTCTGTCCATCCATGCATTGGTGGTGAGAGCACTGTGCATGGAAAGGAGAGGGTCACCATGGCAAACTTTTCTCCGGCCGGTGCCATGTGTGACATGGAAACACAGGATGTGGAGCTGTGTTTCTTGGGGGGTCTGTGGCACAGGAGAGACTCTGTTCCCTCGATGGACTGAGTATCGATTGTCTGGAGGGTGGAAACCTGATTGGGCTCCAGATTGTGTCTCACTGTGGTTTGTTGGAGTTGGGTGGTGGGGGGGGAGGAATGCTTTGCAAGGTTTTCATTTGATCTTTGTGTGGTCTTTTTTTCCTTTTTTTCCTTTTTTTCCTTTCTTTTTCCTTTTGTAGTAGTAGCTTAATAAAGTTTTTTTTTTCCTGTTATTAAGCTTGAGCCTGCTTTGCTCTGTTCTAGATTCCACTTCACAGCATTCAAGGGAGGGATCACATTTTCATGGGGGCACTGGCATTGTGCCAGTGTCAAACCATGACAACTTCTAACAATTTCCCACATGGAAGGCTTGTGGATTTTATGTAGATGAAATTGTGTGTTTCCAATATTCAAGGCATACAGAAAACTCACCTGAATGTCCCAGGCACACTGCTGCTCTGGAGCTACTTGCAGTACCTCTTTCATAGACTGAGTCACAAAGCATTTCAAAGAAAAGGTTATATTTGCACAACATTGATAAAAGTCAAGAAGAAAAGAGTAAAACCAATTGTCTGACCTGCTGCTCTAGTATCTGAAATGGCTCCAGCACTTTAGGCATTTACGCAGCCACGAAGCCTCCAAGTCACATCAGCAGACTGTATCTCCATTCCTGTCACAGCATTACCTTTTGGAGACTCTTGGTTAGTGTCTCCTGGAAGGCTGCAACCTCTTCCAGAAAGCTTCCAATAATTGCATCTTTTCTGCTCATTCACTGTGGTACTGCAATTTCATCCTGTCATCGGTGAAATACTCACAATTTCAGCAGTATTTAAGTTTGGTCTGTAGTTGCAGAGTTGTAGTTACACTGATAGCTTCCAGCAGAAGAATAGAAGTATAGCCAGAAATCAGTAGTCAAGAGCTGATCACTCCCTGTAGTGCTGACAAAGGTTTCTTCTTGAGTATTTTTCTATACAAAGGAAGATGGAAGACATCATTTTGGGGCTCCCTGCAATAGTAGATCCACTACACTATAGAAAAAGGGGGCAAAGATGGGCCAAAACGTTTTACACACTACTTGGAGAGATGCAACCCAGGTGAGAAATCACAGCACCACTATAAAGCTCCTCTAGATTTGTGGAGATGAACTCACTTTGAGATTCCAGCAAGTTTCTGTGTGCAGATACAGAGGCATCTGATCTGGGCTAATGCACCAAACAGAAGCAACACAGTTCTGTGTGTTTTCTGCTGTGTACTAGCTCATGATTCCCACAAGGAAATCCTTGTACTAGGATGAGGGCAGCATCCTATACAATGAAGCAATAATCCGATACAAGAAAGACAGTGGTTCTACTGATGGACAAATAAAACACTTTGAGGATTTTAAACTCAAGGACAGTGCTGAAAAATAAAATGGTAATAAACTGTCTGAAACAAGTGCACTCTGGAAATTAAAAGAAAGGAATGAATCTTCATTAGAGTGAGCTTCAGGAGTATCTTGTCCATAGGCATAGTAGGGGTAAACAGAATGATTTCAAAGTCAGTCTTGTCAGGAGCAGTTTGTGACAATGTGGAACTGTCAGGATTCTTGACTTTCTCCTGCTCAGCTGCAGGGTGACACACCTGTATGCAAATGCAATGTGTGCTACTTGGGAGTATTTGTGCGTAAGCCTCTCACAAGTACATTAGGCCTTTATTTCCTTCCTAGGGAATACTAAGTAAAATTAAGGCTTCTCTTGAAGATGACTTTTCTTGAAGATGCTTTTGATTTAATTGTCATAGATTTAAAAGATTGCCTAAACTCAGGGATGATGATGACTGTGGTTGACAACTCTGATTCTTAGCTGCTTTCTCAAAAGGGCATTGTTCACCCATGCAGGAGACAAAAATTCTTTGCTGTGCAGTGGAAAATGTGAAATTCACTATCTTCACAACTTAAGACCACTGTAAATTTCACCTATTTCTTTCTCCAGTGCAAGACACTTTTAAAATATCTTCTCTATATGGAGCTGCAACTCTTAAAAAATATTTTAAAACCTCCCTAGCCCCTTAGAAATTGTCTCCCAGTACAAAATACTAAAACTTGGTATGCTTGAGTATATTAGCCATGATGACAATATAAGACTTCTGTGGTTCTCCTACATTACTGTTTCCTACATAAATTTATTTGCTTTATTAAAGACAATTTTTTACTCTTCAGTGCTCTATGTACTTCCTGAGGACTACATACAGACACACACTTGCAGATATGCGTGCTCTCCTCAGACACAAGTTTGAAAAAGTAGAATTTCTAATGTTCCTGATGAATGTGACCAAAAGTCTCCTAATATTGTGGGATATTGTAGGTTGGCAGCATTGAGTTGTTAATAGCTAAGAAGCTAATTCATTAATGAGACTGTAAAGAGCAATAAAAACTTTAATTTGAAGTTACAGTCTGTACTGCTTGTTTTCAATGACATACTTTTTTCTGTAAGGATTTTATTCCTTGCGCTTTTAAAACACCCCCATAATGACAAATCTTGTAACTTAAATCCTACTTCTGAAAAGTTGCAATTGAAGGTACCACAGAACTTTTATTTTTATTTCTTATAAACTGAACCACATACCCTGTTAGGCTTCCAGGCTATTTTTAGGTGGTTTCCATAAAAAGATTTTTAGGAGATAGTAGATGAGGTCTACCCTCTCCCTGACGCATAATATTCTGCAAGTGTATTCTTAGCAGCATGTTCTGACAGATTACAGCTTTCTAAAGGGAGATGGGAATTGCTTGAGGACAGCTCAGAAGCGTGACTACACACTTCTCCAGCACGTCTGGAGATGGGGTTATTAATAACAACTGCCAAGGCCCTTGCCTGCCTCAGCAGCTTGTAGACAGCAAAGGGGAGACTCATTCAGTCTGTATTTGCTCAACAGGAAGGTTGTTCTTTCCCTTACCTCTAGAGATACTATGGAGGCACTAATGCTGAGTTCCAGACCTCTGAGACTTCATATCTCTGGAAACCTGGAAAGTTTTGTTTCTAGGTTGCTCTCTTACTGAAGATAAACCATCAACCTGCTCTTACTGCAACAGTGAATTACAAACTTCTCCAGGAAATGCTCCAATTGATCAGATGGCTGAGTTATAGTTAGGCTGCAGAGGCTATGTAGTGATAAGGGCAGGACTATGTTGGTTGGCTCTGTTTTAGAAGAACAAATTTATAAATCAGAGATATCATCTGCACTGGTGTGGGTTTTGTGTGAGCAGTTGCACACACACAGACACAGAGCCCTTCTGAGAAATGGAAAATTAGGACCTGGCTGTTGTAGCTCTTTTTCCTGCAGTAGCATATTTAGGAAATTGTTTCTTAGGAAAATAATTCAGGCTAGATCATTGGCAAACTGAATATAATACACATTTATTATTTTCATAGAAACCAATGTTTCAAAATATTCCTAGGAATAAGCATTTGGCTTCTTTTATTTCCTTTTAAACTGGCAAGGTACTACACAATCATACGTAGAAGTGGACCTGAATTTGTGAATGGATGGATGTGTTTCATTGCAAAGTTGTGTCTTAACAATGGGGATGGATGGGTCTCCACTCCTGAAATGCTGTATCTTAATTTCTATGAGGTTATTCCTATAAATGTAGAAATCAAATTTCTAATGAGACACTATAGTTTAGTTATGGTCTTAATTCTCAAGTTTTCTCAAGTTATGTTGTAGACAGACAGATTTCTGTTTTAAGTCAGTCTATAAACACCCAGAGAAAATATCAAGGCTTATGTCAGTAGGCCCTCTTTATTCTTTAGCATATCTCACACCATCTCATCACTGGTCCATCCTGTTACTGATAAGGAGGCAGCTGCAACTGTAAATAACATATGACAAAATGACAGTGCCTCAGCAGTCATATGTAGCCTAAATATTTTGTGTTCCTGTTGATTACCATAGTTCAAGGAAACAATATTGTCTCTATTCAAGCAGCCACTTAATGAAAAAAATCAAATATTATTCTCTACAATGAAGGCTCTTACTAGGATCCATTTTGATGTTCTAAGTTGGTAAAACATATAACTAGTGGTGTTTTTTTCTTCTCTCAGTACAGTTTCACCCAGTCCTACCAGTTTAGATAATTCTGAAATTGTCCAATGACACTTTAAATTACTGCTGAATGAAAAACACTGCACTTCTGTGGCTTAGTTTCCTCCTTTGTACATAGGCATCATAGCAACTCTTGTGGAATTACTCTGGGATTTACTGAACATTTTTAATATAAAATTTTGATATTACTGTGAATATTCATTCCGTATGTGTACATACATACATCTGATTTTTGCTGTAGAACAGATTTTCTACAATATTTGGCAAAAATATAGAAATGCTTTTATGCAAAAATAAAGAATCTGGCATTTGAAAGAGAGTTGTAATTACAGTAAAACTTCTATAAGATTGCAAAGAGGGCTAGGAGGAGGAAATAAGATTAGTCAGCCACAGGCTCAGCTGGCCTGGATGCACCCACTCAGTGAGTAAGTCTGGTAATTTGATGACAGCAGAAGCTGTGACAGGAAGATGGTCAGCAGCTGTATTGAATTGTTCTGGGTGTATTAATTAATTGCCTAATTGCAATTACTTCTTTACCTTCCCTGCCTATAGTAGCATTATAGAACACTTTGTTGGTGAATAAGGTGGTTGCCTAACTTTGTTCTTGGAACCACTGTAATTCCGGCAATGATGTGATAATCACAGATTTGTGGGAGGAGGATTGTGTTGTCCATCCTGGCTTTTGTAGTGGTGCAGTGGGATAAGATCAGCTCAGCCAACAGAACAGGTCACTGCTGCGGGAGGGGATGGTCCTACACCTGCACCTTCTCACTCGGTTTCCAGCTGCTTCTCTTGTGCCAGCTCTGATGCCTCAGTGAGCTGGTCAGAAGGGTAACTTAGCAAAAAAAAAAACCCAAAAACCCAACAACAACCCCCTATACTCCAGTAGATACATAGCAATGACAAGACTGGATCAGGAATGTAGAGCAGGGAAAGGGAGCTGGACCTCAGTGCTTCCTGCAGCTTCTCCTAAAAGCTGAGGGGCATCTAAAGCTAAATTAATTACTCATGGATACTACAGCATACAACTTCACTCCCACTTCTATTACCTTTTGTTGTCTGGGGCTTGCCAAACCCCAGTGTAAGACAAACCAATTCACCAGTCCAGCAAAAGACTACACTGAATGGCTGTTTTTCTGCCAAGTTAGTATTGCATCAGCTCAACAGAATGAACAGTGGGGAAAATGCTATGTGTAAGGAAGGAAGGTAGAAGGAGTGAGGTAGGAAAGGGAAGAAAGAAGTCCTGTTTTTAAGAGGTTGACTCAGCTGCTTGGTCTACCTTAACCTCAAGTATGTGCTTCCACACTATCCCTAGTGCAGGGGACTATTGAAACTCCTTTTCTCACACCCTCAGGCATGGGTTCCAATCTTGTTTATGCTTCACCTGTAGAGCTGTGTGGCTGCCTGTGGTTCACAGCAGCTCACTGCTCACCCAGGAACCACTTGTGCTTTTGATCAGCTTGTCTTAGGTGAGAGATCATGGTGTGAGCTCAGGGAACAGCAGTGTGTGGCAGAGGAGGAGGGCAGCAGCCCTCTTTAGCAGCAAAGCAACTAAAAAGTGGTGTGCCCTTGACATGAAACTATACAGTCAATAACCCGCACTGTGGAGGCAGGCCTTGGTGGAGTTGGGCTGTAGGAATGAATGCCCATTTGAATGGGGACTACAGGTCCCCAGTCTACAGTTGGTATTCTGGAGTAGCCAGTTTGGGTGGCTTTTCTAGCCCAATATGGATACTCGGATCTCTGCAGCAGTCCTTCTAGGAGCTAAAATAGCTTAGGGGAACAATCTAAATTTTTGTAGATACGACAACAGAAATCAATGTATTTGTTCACTGCCATCTCCTGATCAAGTGGACTTCAAAAGCCCTTTCATAAAAGAAGCCAGAAGGAGAGGTATAATGAAAACTTCCAGGATGTGACAAACCACTTATGCAACAAAAGCTGTCAAAACATAATAAGCCAGATTGACTTAACTGCAACTTCAGCTGACTTAACTTCTTGCTTCAGCTGTAACTTCCAGCTGAAGCAAGATTCCTGGTCTACAACACTTGAAAGGAGACACTGAATTCAACACCAATGAGCATTTATTTGAGCCAACTGTGTTCCACTCAGTTGTTGTGTCTTACAGACTTTCAAGAAACTTTTGGCCCATGCTTTCTTCCATGCATGCCAGTCCTTTAATGGAATATTCTGGGAGAAGTGTAAAAGAGAAAAAAGAAAAAGGGGGTGAAGGCAGAAACAAAGAAAGAGAAGTAATTCAGTATGCACTGTAACAAAATACATCATTTTCCAATAACTTTTGTCTTGAGAGTATGGACCAATGAAGATGCTTTGAAATCTAAATAAGTGTTGGAGTCATGGAGTCTTTCGCCTAGATTTGCAATTGCCAGAGAACTTTACTTTCTACCAGAGTACACAGAAATTATGTCCTGTTTTAAACCGGAAGAAAACACTTGATAGGGACTCATATGTACATAGGGTTCTATTCCTTGCTGTGCTGCTGACCTGCTGAGCAACCTATGGGAAATTAGTTCATCTTTCTGTGCTTTTACTTCCCATAAATAATGACATACATTCTTAGATGTTACTATTACTATACATCCGTAGTAATGTCCTAGTATGCTCGTGCAATAATTATACTGCAATGTTTACAATATTCCTCTTTCTGCTGAAAAAGAACAAAGGTTCACTAACTAGGTGTTATTAAGACAAAGATCACAGAACTGTTAGGGAAGATCCTATTTCCACCTTCCCTGCCCAGGCAGGGTCACCAGGAGCAAGTGATACAGCAACATGTCCAGGTGGGTTTTGAGTATCTCCAGAGAGGGAGATTCCACAACCCCTCCGGACAGCATCTTCCAGTGCTTTGTCACCCTCAACATAAAGTTCTTCCTCATGTTGAGATAGAACTTCTTGTGTTTTAGTTTATGGCCATTGCTCTTTGTCCTGCTGCTGGGCACCACTGAAAAGTCTGGCACTATTCTCTTGATACCCACCGCTGAAATATTTTTATGTATTGATGAGATTCCTTCTCAGTCTTTTCTTCTCTAGACTAAACAGGCCCAGCTCCCTCAGACTCTCCTCGTTAAGAGAGATGTGCCAAACCTCTCATCACCTTTGTGGCCCTTTGCTAGACTCTGCCAGTAGTTCCTTGTGTTTTAGGCACTGATGTTCTAAGGTAGCTTTGAGACAGGTTTAGGAACACTCACAGAAGCTAAAAGTCAGGGACGAACAGACGCTTGGCGCTGACAGCGCACGGCCCCGCTGACGGCAGCTCCTCAGCGCCCATGCCGGGCGCGGACCCCACACGCCCATCCCTGTATCCTACGTTTCCCGGCGCCACGCGCGCAGGGCGGTGCCGCAGGAAGCGCGGCGCGGGTCTTTCCGGCCGTGCGCGCGCCCCGAGCGGAGGCGCGCCCCGAGCCTGCACCGACGAGACAAGATGGCCGGGCTGCCCCGCAGGATCATCAAGGTACGGCCGCGCGCCCTGCCCGCCGCGCGCCGCTCCGCCATGCCGGCCGGGCGCGCCGACCGCGCCGGGCCGGGGTCCGCGCCCGAGCGCAGCGCCGCGCCGGGCGCCGCTTCCGGTGCCCGGGAGCTGGGCCGCGCTAGGGCAGGGCCGCCTCCCCGGCCTCCTCCCGCCCCTGCCGGGCGAGGGGCTCCTCGCTGCCGTCCCACCCGCGCCCCCGCCGCTTCCCGCCGCCGCCGCGGGACTCCCCTCGCGCCGTGTCGGCGCGCGCGGGCGGCGGGAGCGGCCGGGCCCTCCCGGCGGGCGCGGGCCCGCGCCCTTCGCGGGGATTGCTCGGGCGGCGGCGGCGCCCCACGGCCCCCGCTGCTGCCGAGCGCTGCTGTCTGCACAGCCTTCGGGGTCCGGAGCTCGAAGGACACCGGGCACATCCCCCGCTGTCTTCCGCCGACCCAGCGGCTCCTCACTGGGGGCTTCCGCCAGGCCCCGGCTTCCCGGCACAGCTCTAGGCGTGCTTGGCCCGGGGGAGGGCGGCGGTGGCGCCGTGCTCGGCTTCCTAGTGTGCGGTGAGGGACGAGCCACAGCGAGCAGTTAAACCTGGCCACAGCTGTGTGTGCGTCGGGACATTGGCACCAGTGGTCCACGCTGGGACAGCCCGGTTACTGCTACGTTTGCTCGGAGCTGTCGGCCCTTACTCTATCAACGTGTCGTGCTGGTGCTTCGGTATCATGTTTCGACTGTGATTTGCCAAGCTTTGCAAGGGCTCTTAACTTTGGGGTATTTTCAGCAGATCCTCCGAATTCGGTTCCAGCATAAGATTTGAGTAATTTGGAGACACTTATTGGTAGCTGTATTGCAAGCTATCAAACAGCTCGGTCCTGTAGCTCACGTGGTTGCTCCTGCTGTGCTGCTGTCTCCTACTCGATTTGTAATGGTGTGAATTGAAGCCCCTGAATGGATGATCATTCTCTTTATAAAAGTTATTAAGTGATTCCAGTAAGGTTGGTTAGCCCTCACAGGAAATGACAGCATCCTCATAGCCTGTTACAGTGAATGGATGTTAGTTTTTAATACTCTGAAGCTCTCTCAGTTGGTAAACACTGTAAATAAATTAATTTATAAAGTTTTAAATAGTGGACAAAAAAATACATTATTTTTGTCCAAGAAGTCAAGTTATCAAGTAGGTGATAGAGATGATGAGGTAAAATAAGGCAGTAGTGTTTGTCTTCTGTGAAATGGAGCTAAACTACAATTAGTGCTCAGAATTGTAAGTAAGTAGTAAAAATAAAGAAGACAAATCTTACTGATTTTGATGCCTATCCAGCTGTCTGAGTGCACACCATGCTAATCTGAAGTATTTCAGGTGTGATAGGGAACAGTGATTCATAATACAGTGGAACTGGTATTTATCACAGAGTTGCAGTAAGAGCTCAGTCATGAGGCTGGTGTCTGCATTAAATTTTCATTGCTTTTGACAGATCCCCAGAATACAACCAAGAAGTGCACTCACTTATGTTGGTGCATAAATTTTGTTCCTGGTACTTTTGTTTTCTTCATGCTTTTCTAGAAAAAAACGCTAGCGCAATTTACACAACTCACTTCAAAGATATGTGGTGATGTGGGACTGTTTGTTTTCCTCCTGGAGAAGAAAGGTGGAGAGCAAAAGAGAGTCTTAGAAACTCCAGATTTTCTGTGAAGGAGCCCCCTTAGACATATGATGGGTTGGGTGTTTGCATGTGTGCATTGGAAAGTTGTCTGCAGCCAGTCTAGAGTTATTAAATCTTGGCTTGGTTGTGTTAGATGATCAGCTCTTCAGCTGCTGTGCTGTGCGTGCCTTAGGTTGCCACATGTGAGTATGATCTAGGACTTGAGTCTGACTAGTTACTAGAGCCTCAAAAATGTGCAAAGTCATATCTTGAAATACCACAGCTGCAGAGGTGTGGACCCAGAAATACTCCTGCTTAAATCTTTGGGAGTCTTGAGTGAGAATTGTTTTGATCTTTTCTATCATGCCAATTTTGACTTTAGTGTTTAATTTCCTATTCTGGATGCCTTAGAGGGTGGGCAGGGAGTGAACTCAGTTGCTAATGAGAATTTGAAAGATCAGGATAGGAAAGAGCTGAGTAATGTTAAAATAACTCCAGTAAATAAAATGAAATCTTCATGCTATGCACAGTAATAAATTTCACGATAAATAAATGGCTTAGGTTACTTTTAGGAAAAGATCTTCTCCCTTTTTGCCACATGCACCCTTTGTGTTGTCATCCAGGAGAGACCATCAATGGCTTCTTGGGGCTAGGAGATTGTATTTGGACTGTGATAAAGTCCTGAGCCTGGCTGGCTGCTCAAAATGCAGTTGGCATTCCCTGTCTTGAGCGACTGCTGGCAGATGGCCGGGCTCTCAGGTTGACTTGCAGCCCTGTACTCCTCAGCCTGCGTCTTTGCTATGTGCAGGCTGTCATCCAGCCCAGGAGGAGAGCAGGAGTTTTCCTTGCAGTGGCAAGGACTCTGTTTATGTTTCCAATACTTCAAATTCAATGAAAAGGTGACAGTATGGGTGTTTTAAAGCAGTTGTTACAGAAGATACAGAATTATTCCCAATTTACTGTCCTCAGATTACTTAGAAACGGATTTTAATAAAGTGTGTGTGGGAATGGTCTGTAAGTTCAAAAGGTGACTTGCTTTAGAATTATGACTGTTAGCATATCACAAATGGTGAGTAGAAGACATTGATGTAGTTTTGAATCTTAAAAGACGTAATCAGAATTGGAAAACATTGTATCTTTTGAATAGAGAAGAGGTATTTTTGTTTTCTTCAGTAGTTCAACACCAGGGATCCTATGAGAATTGTCATGACAAAAAAACTATTAATGTAAGATAAAATGTGTTACTGGCACATTTACTACATAGATGTGTGTGATTTTTACTTTCAAGCACTTATTACATTAGTTCTTTCCCATGTTGCAAAGTCACGTACCTCCAGTCGAGTAAGGAATTGAATTGCATCTGAATTATTTTCTTGGCTGACATTCAATCCACCTTATTGCTGTGTCAAGTGCAGTCAGAGTATGTGAACGGGATGGACAATATTGCCCCATATAATCTTTTAAAGTGTTTTTTCCCCTGCTGTTTTCATTGCTGCAGTGATCTCATCATTCATGATTTGATGCACAAGTCTCTAAGTTGACTGTAGCCAGTTGTTATTAGTGCTTCTGTTAAAATTGCTGCAGCTGCTCCTGTAATGAAGTAACCATCTGAAGCAGTAGCTGAGGCTACTTCAGATTTTTTTTTCTAATTATTTTATCAGTGTTAAATTACAGAGGCTTTGATTTCCTCCCCTGCATGATACTGTGGTGTTGTCTGAGATATGCAGTCCTTGCTGTTTACTCTGTGAAGCTATTTCCTTTATCTGCAGTGAACTCCTGCTTGCTGTATTTTTTGAAACTCTAGGAACGCTTGGATTGCTAACTACAAAATGCTGCTTCAAAATGTAAAACTTCTGGGTGGTTTTATGGAGATTCTCTTGGTGTGCATGATGCTAGGCACTTAGAGCATTCTATAGTCGAGGTCAGTATAATCAGCCTTATATATTTGAGGTTTTATATATAAATGTAAATCAGGTATTTAGCCTGCAACTGGAACTTTCTAGAAGTTCTTTAAATTGTTACTGGCAGCCAATTTGAAGTTTCTTGAAAGCTGTGTTTCTCTGAGGCATGGACTTTTGTCTCAACATGAAAATTTAAGTCACTGCTACTTTTTGATTTCTGTGACGTGTCTGACCACTTTTTTATTTCCTGAATTAAAAAAAAAAGTACATAAAAAAGACTTAAGGTAAACCTAATACCTTTCTGTGGAGTTTTGTATTTCTTTGGATAGTGGTTAGGTGCAGAAAACATCACTTCTGAAGAACGCTGTTCCTTGACATTTGTCAAAGAATGTAATGTCTTTTTGCATCTTGTATACCATTTGAATCTTGTGGATAACTTAAAATTGGATAGAAGGGTGAAAATTTTGGGAATTTTCAGAGGTGTTTTTGTACTGTTCTTAAAACCATCTTCTCCCTGCTCCTTTTCCCCCCTTCCCCAAGTGTAGAAAGATAATACACGTGCTGTTTTGCAACCCTCACTGAGTCTTCTTGCCAGGTGACCAATATAGCCTGGGCTGGCTGGGATAGTAGGAGGAGTGTACAGGCAGGTATTGGAAGCCTGAAGCTTGGCAGGACAGATGCTTTGTGCAGGTAGGGGAGGGAAGCTGAGAAGAAGAAGTAGACCCTGTAGAATAAAAACTGAGGAAAACCCAAACAAATAACCCAGCTAGAGGCAATAATCCTGTTTGGACCATCTCGTATAATACTTGAGCAACTTTGAGGCACAAACCTATAGTAAAATGATGGACTTTTATTGCTTTGCATGCAGCTGTTTTCTACTGTATATGTCTGTTACGTTTAGATGGCTTTCAGAGTATAATCAAAAATTTTTTTTGTGTAGTAGTACAAAACAAAATCACATTTTTGTAGCTACTTGTGACTGGTGGATTAATAGTGAGAAGCAAGTTGCAAAGTTTGCTATAGATAGTGTGGTGGATTGACCCTGGCTGGACACCGCTCTATCCTTCTCCTCCTCAGCTGAGCAGGGGAGAGAAAGTACAGCCAAAGGCTCCTGGGTCAAGAGAATCACAGGGAGGGATCACTTGCCCATTACAATCATGGGCAGAACAGACTTGACTCGGGGAGATTAATATAATTTATTGCCTATCAAATCCTAGTAGGTTAATGATAAATTGAACTTAAATCTTGAAAGACACCTTCTCCCCCACCTCACCCTTCTTCCTGGGCTCGATTTCATTCCTGATTT